ATTCCCGGGATCATCCAAATTTAGAGAAAAGCAACCCTCTTCTTCCTTATCATCTTCTTCATTATTAGAGGCGGGCTTCATTACTTCTTCTTCCTTATTATCTACTTCGTTAACATCGGTAGGTTGACTCACTTCTTCATCCTTATCATCTACTTCATTAACATGGGCATGTTGAATCTCTACTTCATCCTCATTCAACACATTCACATTGTTGCTTTTGAAGTACTTGTTAATATCCTCTGCTTGACTTTGAATTAATCCAATTTCATTTCGTTTCCTTTTCCTCTCTTGAGCACCAGACTCATATTTAGGAGGCATAGTATAGGAGTGAATATCTAATGTCCAATGATTAACCTAAAAAATAATTACACAATATCTCAATTATAGTTTCGAATATAGTTACTACGTGCGCCTGTGCAATTGTTCATCGTACAATAAGCAATCATATAAGCCGACCAGGCTGCAATTATATAAGCCGACAAGGCTTCAAACATTTCCAATATCTTCAATAACAAGTCAGGGCAAGCCATTACTTACGTGAGAAGTGGAATTTTGATGAAAATTGTGGAATTACACCGTTGAGAATGATCCCATTTTCTGAATTAGGAGTAAGCAGATCGCAATTTTAAAAATTTTAATAATAGCTCCAAGTGCATTCACAATGGCTCCTACAAATTGAGACAGAGAAATCTCTTAGAATCAACTAAAATTAAGGGGGTAAAATTAAGAAAAAAGAAAGTAAGACAATTAAAATACCATAATCCGCATTCTATAGACATCAAAGTTGTTCTACCATCTGATTAAATGAAGGATCTTTTGCTATCTGTTCAGCTAATTCCTTGATGCTTGGATCCTGTACAGGCACAGAGTAAAGAATTTAAGAAAATAAATGACCTGCAAGTGCTGCAAAGAGAACCATTTACTGTGTATGCTAGTAATGTCACTCTCACGCATTCACGAATATTTTGTCACATTATATACCACATACTTTTTGTTTTTTAGCTTCATCTATTTCTCCGTTTCTTTAGTGAAATAATATAAGTTAAAGCAAAACATTCATCAGGAAAAAAAAATTTGAATCCCATAGTGAAATCGCCCTTTGTCAGAATGGGAAGAGCATATCAACATGCAAATAACAGATCATACGAATAGGAAAAAGAATGATACTTTTTTTTTTTTTTTTGCATCAACAAATTGCAAAAATGGTCATTAGATTTCATTTTTCCTAATGGGTTGAACAAAGTACAGCTAACATATTATTCAACAAAAAACATACATTTTTCATGCCTCAAAATTAGGAAGTCATTTCTTTCCAAGCCCATATAGAGTTGACAAGAACTTGAATCACAAAACAAAAATATAAAAATGAAAATTTTCATAAAGACGACGAGTAAGATTCTAGTATTCTACAAAGAAATGCTTGTCGGCAAAGTAAAGAACAAAAATTACAAAATCGATTATTGATTTGGGAAATTGAAAACAAAACAGTATTCAAAGCATAAACATTTACATACACGAAATCATCAAAATAACAAAGGGCAGCCATAAAATCACCAAAATAAAGCAAAATATCATTAACAACTAACAAAAGCAAGCACTAGAAATTGATTATTTGAATCGTGCAATCAAAAATATACCATAAAATTATATTTGATATATTAGATGGAATTACGTTTATACATTTTAGTTGCTGAAACGTGCACAGTAATCTGTAATCATAGTGCGTGATTTTTCCACATAACTAAAGTATATTAAACTCTTGCAGGTGGTTGAACTTTGAAGACCCTTTAATCAATAGTCAATAGACATTCATGGACTACAATGGAGTGCAAGAATCTTTTGTATAATAATATCCAGCATAAGGGTCTAACCGTCTAAGTAAGGACAAGACACAAGAGCGAACTGCGAAGTAGGAGGAACTCAATGACAAGATTCAAGAAGCTACCTGGGCGGACTGGCGGAGCTGCGGAGGTGGACAGTGGACTGTGGTGAGACGTCGAGTGACCGGACGGCGGGACGAATAGGCCTTAGCACCGGACCAGAGGGTTATTTCTCCGTTGTTCTTTCTAGAGGTACCCTTAGCACCGGACCGGAGCACCGAGCACGTCAACGTCGAGACTCAAGAGGAGCAGACAAGCAGTTGGAGTTGCAGCCCTAAATCGTCTCTTTCATATTTCAAATTTGGGAATTTGGGTAAATGGGTTGTAAAATTGGATTTGGGTATATGAGTTGGGTCGAAATTTTAGGGTAAATGGATTGTGGGTTATTGGGTAATGAGTTCTGGGCCGGATCATATTATTCAAAAAAAAAAAAAAAATTTGGAGGCAAAAATGGGCCCCTTAATGGTCATGGGCCTGAGGCGCGGGCCTCACTGGCCTCGGCCCAGGACCGGGCCTGATTATATGCCATGGATTCCGTTCCTCGAAGGTTGGCAATTGTGATCTAGAAAATTAATTTGTGCTTGTACCTCAATATTGATTTGCACGATAAGATATATAATTCTCAATTTGTTGTGTTCCGTACTATGTCTCAGAATCGCATCCCTATGGTGAACCTCGCGGCTGCTTTTGAAAAAGAAGGAATTAGTGCCTTCCGTTTTGACTTTTCTGGCAATGGGTATGTGATAACATTAGTGAGGCATAATGTGATTAGTTTAACAACAAATCATATCTGCAATCTATCACTTATTCTTTTTCTTTTCCCAAATCGTTTACCCTGTTGAAATGTTATTGCGGTCATGGAATTATCCCTCTCTGTGCTAATTTCGAACTAAACATATCTTGCAATCTTGGAATTGAAATTAGATACTAAATATAAATATCTGTAAATGTAAATGTAGTAGAGGTAATGATTTCCTTTAAGTTATCATGTTTTTGTTCTTAATATACGTTGAGATTAGGTATTAAGAACTTATCGATTTCTTGCTTCAAGAAAAAGGTAGTACTGTCCCAACTGCACAGGTTTACTAAGTGTCTTGTTAATAAGCAGACTCCTTGAAATTGCTTGACAAATATGCTTTAGATCCTACATTTACCGGAGACTCGTAGAATTACTAATAAGAAATATTTTCTTGACTTATCAGGGAAAGTGAAGGAACATTTCAGTATGGTAACTACCGTAGAGAAGCTGATGATCTAAGAGCTGTGGTCAAACACTTCCGTGAGGAGAAACGATGTGTAGTGGCAATTATTGGGCACAGCAAAGGTGTTCTAGATACATCTCTGCAAACTGACCATTTTTTTTTTTTTTTTTATTGTTGTTTTTTCCCTGGTTCTTAGTTTATGTATTCCTCTTTCTACTTTTTCAATTTCCACGGGGCTGGGGTTTTGGGGTCGCTGTGAGCATAGGATATCTTATCGTGAGATTTTCGAATGCATCTACAAAAAATTTTGCCGACTCCAAAGATTATTCTTCTTTC